CCTCCAAGAGGTCACCAAGAGGCTCCCAAGAGACCCCCAAGAGGCTCCCAAGAGACCCCCAAGACGCCCCAGGAGGACTCGAAGAAACTGTCAAGAGACATACGAAGAGACTCCGAGCAGCATCCAAGAGGCCTCTGGCTATTATTCTGGCCCTCCTCCTCTCCTCCTCCTCCTCCTCCTCCTCCTCCTCCTCCTCCTCCTCCTCTCCGCCTGTTTCCCTCCATTCTTTTACCCTATTCCTCCTCCTCCTCCTCCTCCTCCTCCTCCTCCTCCTCCTCCTCCTCCTCTGCCTCCTCCTCCGCCTCCTCCTCCTACTTCTCCTCCGACGACGACGATTCCTCCTCCATTTTCCCCCACTTGGGGTACGACGCCCCCCGAGCCTGTTATTCCACTGTATGCTTCTACACATCCCTGATCAAGGCAACACGCCTGGGCATCGTTTCTGGATGGGCTATTGGGGTTGAGCGAAGCGTCGAGAATATAGAATCGCAACACATGTGGAATGATGCTTTATCATTCCCGTGTTTGCGCGGGAGTGAGACTGCGCCTGGTATCCTGCCAGAGAACCTGCTGGCGGCGACCGTGGGAGCAATGGGCGGCCGGCCATTCTCGCGTCGTCACCCCTAATGGGAAAGCTGCCTCCAGCACGGACCCACGATTACCCCAGTTGTCATGGCGGCTGAAGACGCATCCAAGACAATCGAGACATTTACTAGATGGCCCAAGACGGCCGAAAAGGCATCCCCTCGGAGGCACCCAAAACATCCACATACTTAAATGCAGTATTTTGTGTTGCGCTAACTGTCGCCTTCTCATCTCTTCGGGCTCGAAGGGCATTGATCGGGCCACAGGATAGCCTCAAGGTGAGCCAATGCGGCTCCAAGTAGCCCCTTGCTTGGCCCTCAGTTCGCCCCAAGAGGCGCTACGAAAGCCTCCAACACCCCAAGGGCCCCCGATATCCCCCAACTCGGACCCCCAAATGGCCCCGTACTGGCTCCTCTGCATTCTGCCCAACAAGGAATGGGGCAAATGCAGTCCCTACTGCCTCCCCAATTTCTCGCATGAGGCTTCCTCAAATTACCGTACCTCGTGACCGCTCCAAGGAGCCCCGATATGCATCCGAGATGCCACCTTCAGCCCTCCGACATTGACAAACAGCGCTTCCAACACCAACCACGAGCGAGGGACAAAATCTCGCGTCCATCCATTCACGTTGCATATCCATGTTGCAGCCAATCAGTGGATGACTATAACTTCGCGCGGCTGATCCTAAAATGACATGCGAGTGTGTGCAGTTGTTCGAAATATGTATCTGTCGATCGTGAACAAACGAATGACCCTTGCGCGTGCTTCACGTGATCAGCCAGCAGTCATGCCATCATTTTGCATGGCTGGCCAAGAGAACAAACGCAGAACACCAGAACGGACTGGCAGTCTGCGTGGAGCGTCTTAAGATGCTGCAGAATGCTGTGAATGTCTGCCGCATATATATATATATATATATATATATATGCAGTAGACGTCGCACTTGTCATCATGTCATCACCGCTGCGGAGAGCCGTACGCTTGCAACAAAATCGCAGGTCGGTGTACTACTCCGATCTACTCCGAAGCATGTATATACAAACGCACGCACACATCCGCCACCGTACTCCAGCCCCTCGGAGTCCCACACTTCCTAGGCAATCTGGGCACACGTCTGGATCCAGTGATTTCGCGGGCCCAGGGCCCCAGTGACGGTCCAGCATATGCGAGTCGCCTCGTCAATGAAGTGACGCTTCGTGCGCGAGCGCATCGCTCGGACAATGACCCGCCGCCGCGCTCTGCAGCGGTGAGCGTGTGTCAGTCCCCTGATGTACCAGAAACGCTGCTCTTTGCGAAGCCATGGCCATGGCACCAGAAGAGCAAATGCCAACATGTGATCACTTTGCAACCTAAGTCCAAACGCTTCGTGCGTCTTGCTAGAATGAACAACTTCGCCCTGGTCCTGTCGGCAGGCCCCACGCGCTGCGCTCCCACGTCGCCAAAAGACCCCCAGACAGCTCCAAGACAGCCCCCGAGATGGGTGACGGTCAACTGCAGACAACTCCAAGACAGGCCTCGACTGGCTCGCAGTCGCCCCTGCCCCTTCTCCGGAGCCAACAGGACCCGCCAAACAGAAGCCCGCGACCCCTTCTGACGGCACCAAGACGGGCAAGACGGCCAGCCGACCACGGAGGAGGAGGAGGAGGAGGAGGCGGAGGAGGAGGAGGAGGAGGAGGAAGTGGAAGGGGAGGAGGAGGAAGAGGAGGAGGAAGAGGAGGAGGAGGAGGAGGAAGAGGAGGAGGAGGAGGCGGGGGAATGAGGAAGAGGAGGAGGTGGAGGACCTCGCCCACGCTCAAGACGACCCTCAGAGGCACCCGCGGCCAGCCAGGCCGGGGCACAGCGTGCGCTCCGCTCGCAGCTCGGCCAGCTCGAGGCTCAGAGTCTCCTCCCTGTGCAGTGCCTCGCGCTCTGCCGCCTTGCGCGCGCGCGCGTCGGGGAGGGCAGTTTGTGTCGGGAGCGTCCGCTGCCTGCCGAGCACTCCTCGCGTGCGGAGCTGCACTGTCAATGCCGCGCTCTCTCCTGTGGCTTTGCTGAACTCCTGCTCTGGATGCACACCGCTTGAGGCGGCGGAGAGCTTGAGAGATCCATCCAACTAAATACTGTCTCTCCTCTGGCGTCGCTTCTTCTCTCTCTCTCTCTCTCTCTCTCTCTCGGTTCGCTGGTGCACCGCAACGCTACTGAACATCATTCCGATGATGTCGCGGCGCCCACACATTTCCCAACACATATCTGTCAGATTCCTCTCAAGGAGCCACTGCGCTGACAGAAGCTATACTGGGTGCAGCGGCATCGCGATGGCGGAGGACAATATATTCTAGATCGGATTAGAGTTTGACGGCAATCGCAGATAAAGAGCGCCCTAACAACGCTGGAATGGCAGCGTCGCGAGGCAGTCGGCGAGAAAAGAGGCAAGCCCGATGCGAAAACGTATGCCGTTCGCAACATGCAAGCGGCGGACCAAGTATATGACATGAAGACTTGACATGGCACCGAATGCTTGCGAGTGAGGGGGGAAACAAAACAACAGCGACGAGCGCCAACGCCCGCAAGTCTACCTTAGTCCTGTTGCTGCTGGCGTTACGATTACTTCTCCTCATCCTGCTGGTATTCATCCTCCTCCTCCTTGTCTGCCTCCTTCTCCTTCTGCTACACCCCTTCGCCCTTTATGTATTCCCATTCATATATTTCTCTTACCCAGAACACCCCCTCCCCCGAAATCGGACCCCCGGAATCCTGGGCCCCCGGGACCCTCTGGACGCCCCGGATCCGTGGCCCCGGAGATCCCCTGGACGCCTCTGCAGAAGGCCCCCCAAGCGTGTCAGGCTCCTGGAAGCCCTTGCTGGGCCTAGGCAACGGGCCCCAATCGGTCAGGAGGGCGGCCGAACGCCCCCCCTGGGCCCCAAGAGGCCCCAAACACCCACCAGACGTCCGAAGACGACCCCCAAAAAACCCCCAAGAGGCTTCCAAAACGCAGAAAAACATTGAGTTTCTAACGTTTTTGCATGATTTGGGAACTGTCCTGTTCTTCGGTCTTCTGGGCGTCCGAGACCGCCGCTCGAAAATCGCCCCGAAACTATGGGAAAGGGCTTCCAGGCAGTTGAAGAGAGCCGCAAGACGGCACAACAGGGTTCCAAGATGGCCCTAAGAGAGTCCCATGGCGGCCCCAAGACACCCTCCGAGGCAATCCAAATCGTGACCCGGCCGTTCAGGGAGATCGTGGTTGGAAGCAGGGTGGCCCGAGGAAGCCCCAGAGGCACCCAAAAGACGCCCAGGAGGCCTCCAGAAGGCTTCAAGAAAGCCTGAAAAACTTCTGTGAGCCCCCCAGAGGCTCTCCAAGGATGAGCCTCCGCAAAAAAACTGAGGAGGATGGGGAGGAATTCGCAGGCTAGGGCGAGAATGAGAAAAAAGAAACATAGAAGAAGGATAACGAATAACATGATTACAACCGCGATGCCTGAAAAAGGCAGCAAGAACTTATCGCTAAATTGTCTGTTTGACCTTCCTGCCATTCCGCCTGCATGCCAAACTTCAAGGACCAAGGTGCATGGCGCGGAGCGCCAATGCAGTCTTGTATGTATATATATATATATATATGTGTATATATATATATAAACAAGTGGCACGTGTGTGCCCAGGCTCATACAACAAGCAGAAGGGGCGTTTGAAGCAGGAGTGACATGCAACAGCGAAGTCGCACTCGAGCGCAAGTGGGGTTGCCACACCTTGCGATGTGTGTACCAGGGCCCCCCAGGAAGCCTCAGGAGGCCCGACTTGGATACCAGAAGAGGCTCCAGGAGGCCCCAGGATTGTGAGTGTTGTGTGTGTGTGATGTGTGCTTTGTGTGGTGCGTGCTTTTTGTGTGTTGTCGGTGTTGTGTGTGTATGTTATGTTTGTCTAGCGTGTGATGTGTTGGGCGTGATTTGTGTCTCTGTGTGTGCATGTAGTTCTGAAGCCCCAGGAGGCCCCAGGAGGCCCCAGGCGGCCTCAGCAGGCCCAGGAGAACTCCAGGAGGCTCCGAGGCGGGGTCTGGGGTACCAGAAGGTCCAGAAAGCCCCAGGAGGCCCCAGGAGGTTCCAGGAGGCCCCCAGGAGGCTCCGAGGAGGGGTCTGGGGCTCGATTTTGGGAGGATGTCTCAGGCGAAACCGCCATTCTCTGAGAATCGGGGTCAAAATTATTGAAATTACCATGTGTTTTTGAAGGTTTTATGTTAAAATGTTGAAATTCCAATGTGTTTTTGGACCCTGACGTCACGATCTGCGTGAGGGGTGCCACCGATTTTCAGAATTTCGAGGATGTCCCGAGCGAAACGGCCAGAAAAATCGCGGACGACGTGCGCATTAATCGCCTCTGAGCTCTACTCCCTCGGAGAGGTGCGTATGAGAATATATATATATATATATATATATATACATATATATATATATACACATTCCTATTCACACATCTTTATAAGGCCGGGGACGCGGAAAAAAGCCCCACACACATATATATATATACACACACACACCCTAATCAATTTGGCCCTCCCCGGGCCTCTGGGCAACCCATCAGACGACCCGGGAGAACCTCACGAGAGCCCGAAGTCGGCCCCAGACGGGTTCCAGGCGTTCCGGCGCGCTTTCGAAACGACCCCAGAGAGATCGGATCGGATCGGATCGCCTGTGCGGGCATGCGCCCGGGCCCCTTCAGGGCGAGGCGGGTGAGGCCATGGCCTCGCATGAGAGGCAGCGCGCGTCGGAGGCTTGCTCAGGATAATGCGTACCTCACATGTTGATGTTCTGATTGTTCCCACTCCTCTGTTGTAATCCGATGTAGTGACGTAGTTTCGTTGAAGTCGTAGTGTCTGTGGCATGAACCTGTCGGAAAATCCCGTGGATGTCATCGTCCTTTCTGTAACCACGAAGCCCAAGCCAAACACGAACGAGTTGGACGCCTCGGATTTCCAATCTAGTCACATCCTTCAGATACCACTCAGGGCGCAGATACACGCGCAGCCGAAGGCACATAAACTGGAGGTCGATTGGCGGTGGAAGCGGGAAGTCGGAGGTTCGAAATTCGAGGTCGGGATGTTGTGCTGGTGGAGGGTGGAAGTCGATTGGTGGAGGTTGAAATCGAGAGTCGGATGCTAAAGGTTGGTTTTTGGAATGCTGATTTGCTGGGCGTCGGAAGTCGATAAATAGAGGTCAGGAGAGTCGGATGCTAGATGCTGGAGGTCGGAATGCGGGGCTGTCGGACGCTGGAGGTCGATAGGTGGAGGTGGACCGAAAGTCGGGTGCTAGACGTTTGTGGTCGGAGCGCTGAGCTGGTGGACGCTGGAGGTCGATTGGTCGAGCTTGAAGTGGAGAGTCGGATGCTGGAGGTTGGAGGTCTTAATGTTGAGCTGGTGATCGTTGGAGGTTGATAGGTGGAAGTGGAGGTGGAGAGTCGGGTGCTGGAGATTGCAAGTCGGAGTGTTGACCTGGTGGACGCTGGAGGTCGATTAGTGGAGGGGGAAGTGGGAAGTCAGATGCTGGAGGTTGGAGGTTGGAATGCTGAACTGGTGGAGGTTGGGAGGTCGATCGGTGGAGGTGGATGCGGAAGTCGCATGCTGGAGGCGGGAGGTCGTAGTGTTGAACTGGTGAACGTTGAAGGTCGATCGGTGGAGTTGAAAGTGGAGAGTCGGATGCTAGGGGTTGGAGGTCGGAGTGCTGAGCTGGTGTACGCTGGAGGTCGATCGGTGGAGGTAGAAGTGAAGAGTCGCATGCTGGAGGTTGGAGGTCGCAATGTTGAGTTGATGGACGCTGGAGGTCGATAGGTGGATGTGGAAATGGAAGTCGGACGCCAGAGGTTGGAGGTCGTAATGTTGAGCCCCAATACGGTCCACGACGACCCCCAAGAAGCCGCCATACCCCCAAAAAATCGTGCCAAAACGTCCCAAGAGGCCTCCCAGAGCACTTACAAGAATGCCCCAAGAGGCAAAATTCATTCATTTTTGTTGTTGGTTTTTGGTGACTTTTGAGGTTCTCCTCTTTTCGGCTTCCCGACGCTCCAAGGCGGCGGTCTTCTAGGCGTCCGAAGCCGCCTGGGAGGCTCCAAAATCGCCCCACAACCATCCGAAAGGGCTTCCAGGCAGTCCAAGAGAGCCCCAAAACAGCAAAACAGGGTTCCAAGATGGCCCTAAGAGGGCCCCATGGCGGCCCAAGATGGCCCCAAGACATACTCCGAAGCATTCCAAATCGTGACCTGGTCTCGTTCAGGGAGACCGCGGTTGGAGGCAGGGTGGCCCGAGGAAGCCCCCAGAGGCCCGCAGAACACGCTCAGGAGGCCTCCAAAAGACCTCAAGAAAGCCTGAAAAACTTGTGTGAGGCCCCCAGAGGCTCTCCAAGGAGGAGCCTTTGGAAAAAAGCTGAGGAGGATGGGGAGAATGCACAGGGTACGGCGAGAATGAAGAAAGAGAAGCGTGGAAGAAGGATCAGCGGGAAAAGGCAACAAGGAGTTATCGTTAAATTGTCGGCTTGACCTTCCTGCTATTCCCCCTGGCATACCAAACTTCAAAGACAAAGGTGCATGGCGCGAAGCGCCACTGCAGTCTTAGGGCCAGGGACGCGGAACAAGCCCCCCCTAACGAATTTGGCCCTCCCTGGGCCTCCAGGCAACCCTTCAGACGACCCGGGAGAACCTCACGAGAGCCCGAAGACGGCCCCAGACGGGTTCCAGGCGTTCCGGCGCGCTTTCGAAACGACCCTAGAGAGCCCCAATACGGTTCACGACGACCTCCAAGAAGCTGTCACACCCCCCAAAGATCGTTCCAAAACGTCCCAAGCGGCCTCCAAAGAGCACTCCCAAAAGGCCCCAAGAGGCAAAATTCATTGATTTGTGTGTTGATTTTTGGTGAATTTTGAGGTTCTCCTCTTTTTGGCTTCCCGACGCTCCAAG